ATAATTTGCATAAGAAGATTGTTGAACAATAGAAAGAAAATAACATGTAAAATCCACTTTTCTTTTCTTCTTGTTCTTAATTCATGAAGGTTTACTACTAAACAATACTCAGGCATATTATTTTCGTGGAGGATGTTCACATTCGAGGTATGAAAACTATCTTCAGCATTGTATTTATGTAAATTATGTAGAGGTAAACAAATGATCGAATAATAAGAAAATTTGACTGTTGACACAAAATTACGAGGCTTTAAAGAAATCAGATGATCATACTACACCTGATATTAATAGAAAAGCTACCTGGCGACAGCTTAAGTTAATTTATTGGAATTAATCAGAGCTTCACTCCGATACAAATTTCATCCTCGAATCCCCACACTTTAGCCTTAATCTCCAACCACTTCTCAAGTTCCAATTCCTCTCACAATTACCACGACCATTAAATTACCTCCGTTTCTTCGGTCGCCTTTGAAAGAAACGGAAATTGTTAACGAGTAACGTTATCACAGTTGCGCAAAAGGCAAAACAGTAAACACGCTCTGTGATCCCGGGAGGGGATCTCATTAACGCTCAACGAGATAAGTGCGCACGCACAATAAGAAACAACATTTAACGCGTCCACGAGAAACGGTTTCCAGGAAAATCCTTCGCCTGCCATGTTCACCGAGCAATTGTTCCCAAAGAATCAGGGTTACGCGACTTGGCGTGAGAATGGAAGCAGTGTCGCCAACGTTTATCATCGTGTCATCCATCGACGACGATGCTCGTGACTCATAAATATTCATCGATAAGGTGATGCCTGCCACCAGTCTTTGACAGTTTTATCACTTTGGATGCCGCATCTTTCACGTATCGGTCCCAAGATTTATTACGCAACAGATGAGCAAATGACTTCGAAGATCCAACGTAATCGCGCATCTAGTTACTTAGGCACGTTCCGATACTGTACAGTTACATACTGTAACTCTTGCTAAGCCCGTGAGAATGTCCTTAGGGTTCCAGGAAGTCATCATTCTGCGTACGTGATGGCTCGGTGGAGACTATTGTACGATAGAGTTCTTAATATATAAAGTTATTAAGATGGAGTTAAAACGTCCGAGGAAGTGTACCAGCTGATACTGTAATCTGTTATAGATTTTTCGCCATTTTGTTAAGTGAAGATTGAAGAAAAATTAAACGAGATTTTGAGTCTGGTGACAGAGTAAAATAACTTTCTTGGTTAGAAATCAACGTTCTAACATTCATCAAGTCTGAAGATCGACTTTCTTGGAGCTCAGAGTTACACGCATTGAACCATAAGCTCTGGAACATTTTTCCTCGGAAGAAAGGCATAATTCAAGTTGCATTAAAAGAGAGGTCCTTCGAGCTTACAGTTAGAAATGTTATTCAGCCCTCCAGCTAGATCAAAACGGTTCTTTCTTAAGCAATCCTGGATTCAACATGTTTCGTGTCGAGTAAATGCCGTCTTGGCCATTTGTGTAGCGCTGTCTCGTTGCCCAGCGGCGCTTCTCCTGGTTAAATTCTTGTTCCGCGAATTGTAATTTCCTGTGTACGAAGGAGCACGTACAGTCAGCTATTCGTAGATCCAGGCCTCGTTACTTGGACAAGTCTGGGGAGGAAATGAGGTTAGCTCGCGTGATCTGCGGAATCGGTGGTACGAGATCGTGGTACGAATGGGAGCTGGTTCCCCCCCGCATATGGGAGGGGGATGGAGCGTCAGGATGCACACGACTCGGTGATATATCTCGATGCGCCGCGTCTTTTCTGGATTAGCGGATATAAATTCGCTCTTTCTTTCAGCCTGGGACTGTTATTACTTTCTAATAAAGCGATATTGCCTGGCGCTGGCGTGAGCAAATGATGTGGAACGACGAGTTAACGAGGCGGTATGCCTCTTGTTGTCTACCCCCCTCGCCATGGAGGATTCTTCGTTCTGCTTGCCACTATCGCTGCGATCCGTTTTGCTTTTGCTCGTCGACGAATGCCGGCATTCGTGAGCGATGAGACTCGAAAATGCTGGACGAGTTCTTAGAACTTTGAAAGAAGTTGTGCTACCCAGTTTCGACGTTGAATGCTGTGCTGGTAAAGTTCAGGGGTGATGTCGGTGAATTTTAACGTGAGAAAATGGCAACAGTACGTGCTAAGATGTTCGTTTGACGGGGTTTTAGGGTTATGCATCAGGGAAGTGTAAATGAATTTTTTTGAAATTGAATGAATGTAGCTACAAGTTTTTGGAATCCATGAGAAAGTCCTTAGGGTCTTAGGAAGTTCTCAGATTCAGATTTCAGACAATTCAGATTTGATGATCACTGGTCACGATTTCCCAATGCATAAATAAGCAAAAATTCCGAGGAAGATCTAAGTTGGATAAAATTAATCAGACTGCAACACGAATGCTTTGCCAATTGGGAATAATCATTTGATTCACGTGTGAGAAGTAATAATCCTTCAGCGATGCCATGATCAGATCACTCGAAATCATTTGTATCTACGTTAGCTGGTCCTGTATCACGCGATGCGTGACTTTTCCTATCGCCATTGGACACCCATTAAATGTGCAGGAATTAATGATCCCTGGCTAATCCGCTTCGACTGTCCTGACAAGGAAATTATATCTCCGGGCACTGACACGATGTCGAAGCTAATTGTTTGCTTCCTTATTTGGCGCACGGTAGAAACATACGTTGTTCGACCAGTGATTACTCATATCTGTGATACGCTCGTCTATCATTGTGCGGTTGAAATGAACCTTACCTTTTACAGAAAAAAAGCCTACTTGGAAATTGTTAATTAATTCGTGGTAAGCTCCATGGTAACAGTTTAATGCGAATAGGTATTGTATTTATGAAGGCACGTGTATTGCGAAGACAATTTATGACAATTATTGAAATAGTTTGAATTGATCGTCGTTGGTCATTCAGTAATGTTGACCTGTAGCAAAGTAATTCATTCTTCTTTTTTCAGAAATCTATTTCTGTCTCTTTATTTACTTTTCAGTTTCGAATTTGTGCAAAGAAATTTGAATTGCTGAACGATCAAATTACTTTCTTTCTGCGTGCACAGTTAAAAGACCAATGATTCTTCTAAATCACAGTTTCGTTTGATAAGATTTATCCTGGTTAACAGAAGGAAGTTTGACAAGACGAGATTCGTGTTTAAAGGCAAAGAAATATAGAGACGGTCTGTTTAAGATACTCTGTGGCACACTGATTTTTATACTCATCGCCTCCTGTCTCCTTGTTCTTTGGAAGCAGAGATCAAAATGGAAGCGTCTCTGCGGTACCTCGTAAGTGATATTGCATCAGCCCCTAACTGAAACACATGGGCCGAGGTAACCCGAGGGAATTTTATTTACGCCGCCAGTACCTTCAAGTTGGTTTCGCACTTACACGTCCCGCGTAATAAATTTCCATTTTAAATCGACTCTTAATTTCCGGTATCTCTGTACTGCGAGCACTTTATATTAGTGAAAAGAAAAGCTCGTATAGAATCAGATTCGATTACAATCTCTGCAAAAGATTATTTTGCTGATGGTTAAGATTGTCGATTATATGAACTAATGACTACTATTATTTTGAGCTTATAGCTTATAGCTACTTGTATAGGTATTTCTATAACATATTTGAACTTCTTTGGGAATACTCAATGAATCCGTTAGATTCTAAGACAATATAAAATGGTGTCAAACGGAAAAAAAGAGGAAAGCAATTTTTAATTGTTATACATATGTAAAAAAAATATTCTTGCTATAATCAAAATTCTCTTTCTACATATGTATTAAAGAAAAGAAACTTATATACTACAATTCATAGTATACATAATATCATGAGTGAGTTGATGTACCTTTCTTGACGAAAATAAATGATTCAAACAACCTATAATTAACTATAATTCGAACGTCTCAATTATTGGATCAATACTGTACGAACAAAGTGCCCTCAACTCTAAAAACACATTCTCCAAGAAATTACAAAATCAAATTATCACCATACTAAATACCTATTATAACTACGTCTAACTTGGATATCAATTGTTTTTTCATTCGACTTCCGACAAATCTAGAACCTTAATGAACCATTACCAAACTCGTCGTAACCGATCCGTATCGACTCAACAATTTCACGTCTCAATAAGTGTCAAATCGCCCCATAAACTTGCCTCAGTTTCATAACGAAGTATCGGTTTCAAACAGCGAGTACGCCGAGGGGTATTAAAACGGCTCTCACTCCGCATCAGCACCTGGCACTTCGCTTAACTGTGTAAACAGATCCGTTCCCCGCCTCAACCGTAACAAGGAATCGTTTACTTCCCGAATTTCCAACCGACAGCGAACATTACGCTCCGCCTGTGGAAAGTAATGACCAACTCACGGATGAAACGCGACCTCCGTCCGGCGCATCATGACGCGTCATCGCCAAGACGGCGGTGCATCAGCGATGCGACCTATTACGGCGCGAGCAAATTGCTTCCCGTCGTAAAATCCGTCCGAGTGATTGATTAGCATGAAGTTAGTCTAACTGGTTGACTCGCGGCTTCTTCCATCCATGGGGAGAGACCAACCGTTTCTCCCTTTCTCTCTTCCACCAGAGTCAACGCGCTCGAAAGCAGCGTTCGCCGCGTTTTCCCATAACGGTCACCCCGGCCACGTATCGACATTATCGATGCCAATCATCTGTATTAGCCGTGTCGCCTATGGCTGCGCCGCGTCTGCCAAATTAGAATCGGTCTTTACCCAACCCGATCTATCATTAACTCCTCGCGTCGTGCGTAGGTGGAATTGCACGCGTCTCAGGCAACAATATTTCGCGGTGTGACAGCTGTTACCTTCCCCATATCCCGCGTCCATCACAGTTCGACCCGTCCGCGATCGTCCCGTAACGAGACACGTTTCCGCGTTAACAAATAACGCGTTCTGTTTATGATCTCGTTAGAAAGTGCGCGGCTCGCCGCGAAAGTTGGCCGGCCGACGAATGCTGGATGGATGATAACCATTAACTCACCTTGCCGGTGGTAGCCGACTTGTAGAGAGGTCCCATGATGACATGATCGGTGGGGCAACCGTCCGAGTCAATTAAGACTATCTCGCTAGAGTCCACGCCGTCCATGGCTACCAGCTCTCGCACGAAGATCTCGTAGGGACTGTTCGGGTCGAGGATCTCGAACTTGAGCGCCAACGGATCCCCGACTTCGGCCGACGGGATCGCGTCGCTTCCACTGCGGTCGGTGATCTTCATGGCGACGTTGGGCGAGTCGACGATCACTTCCTCCGACAAGGCGGGAGTTATGTCACCGTGCACGCCGAGATCGACTTCGTTCGACACTGTTTTGTTTGTCAGATCGTATTGGCAGGCGACGGCCAGCCCGAGATCGGAACTGGTGACGATCGTGTCGTGGTGTTGGATCACGACGTCGTTCAGGTAACGACCCAGACCCTGTTGTCTGATGTTGCACTCCAAATCGTCGTAGGCCATGCGGAGCTCAAATTCCAAGGCACCTTTCACGTCCTGTACACACGAGTTGGGCGAACCCTTCACGTATACCTTGCCGTAGAAGAGCTTGCTGGTTTGGATCCTCGTAACCATGTCACCGGCGCGACAGTCGATGGTGACGTTGTAACAGGAGCTCAGCTCGTAGGTTGAGCCCTCTGGCACGTCGAGATACGGTTCCTGAAATCAGCAAAATTAGTATTTTATAGATAGGATAAATATATTTAGAAAAAAAAAAAAAAAATATACATGTCAAATTGAGTAACCTCCTCCTTTTCGAAGTCTGTTAAAAATCAATTTCGAACGGATGACTTGCATGCACGATTCATTTTTAAATCATTCTTTTACTCTTTAAGTAATCATTTCAGGTATATTTATTGACATTGAGGCCTATCCATGGGATAAATGCTGAGAATATAAGATATGAATTGTATTGACAAATTTTGTCGGTATTTGACAAATTTAGACGTGAACGACTTAGCCACTGATGTCTATGAGTTAACTAATATCATGTTTATTAGTCTACAACATTCCTGACGATAGTATTTAAAATGTTAAAGTGTTAAATGTCTTTTTTAATCGTTCTCCTGGGGTCGATGTTACGGACGAGTTTATTGAATTAGAAATGTTTTTAATTCGAACAGAGCAAAGGCTGGAAAGTAAATGTAAACTTTTAGGTTTTAAAAGCAATTTTAATTTTTCAATCCAATTTCTGGCGAGAGTATGTAAATTGACTTGGGACTAAGTCGAGGTCGGATTTTGGCCGCAATGAAAGCAAAACCATAGTTTCCGTTGGAAGTAACGCCAGTTTTAAATGGCACTATTAAAAACTTGATGAGAAACGGTTTAGATTTGTGTAATATTGCATTTTGCAGTGTTTTTCTTTCAACTATCTTCATTCGTAGCAATGAAAATGTTTTCTTTATTCTGCTTTTAAAGATACAGTAAAAATATATAGTTCAAAGTTATTTAAAGTTCAAATAATTAAAAATTAAATTCTCACTACTTTTTCTTTTTTCGTATTAGATAATCTTCATGTTTCAATTTAATTTTATATTTTCGTGTACTTCTACAGGACTATAATAAATAACTGGGCAGACAATATATTGTAGCTGACAAATGATTAAATATTATTTTCGCGTTGATCCTGCGTAAACATTAAATCGATAGGCTATTCTGTTTTGTATTCATATTATCATAAAACAATTATTCGAAATTATATTCCACGGAGTAAACTGGCGCTCGGGAGATTGGAATTTTGATAGATGATGTTGAAACTCGATAACCCTTCTCGATAATGATACTTGCAAATAATGAAACAGGAAATACGAATACTATTCCGATCTTATATTTCTGTAAGATTAAACTAAACATCTACGACCTTTTAATTAATTCTAAGGGACGTTATTGCATCGTTTATTAAAAATGCATATTTCCATGAATCATACACATATAAATGAGCAAGTTAAAAATATTAAATCAACTCGAAGAAGCTATTATCAATAATATTTTACCAAGAAATTCACGCATGGAAGTCTCTCGTTTCGATTAGAGAGGATAGACAATAGGAAGAGGATTCCGAGTTTCGTTCCAATTTCTCCTATCTGTAGGGGAGGTCTTTCGAAGATGGCGGCTAGGTTGAAGAGGAACGTGGCAGGAATCGTGACGAGCACGAACCGTTAAAAGTACAAGTGATTCAGTTCGATGTAAAACGCCAGCAGAAATAGAGCGAACCGATTCCTCAACAGGTTGGCGAGAAGAAAAGTCTTTGTCTTGACTTTCTCTGGTATGAGGCACCGTTCTCTCGTATGCACGAGTTGAAGAGCCACCCACAGGCTCGATGGGGTAAGCATCTGCGATGGAAACTCGATTTTCTACGAATGCGCTCTCGGCGAATTGTTCGACCCGGTTTGCACGTGTGCGATGTAATCAGGTTTACAGAAAATCCCCGTTGACCCTTTCAAGAGTACGTGGCAGAGGGGAACGTGTGAAATGTGTGGTCTACGATTTCTAAGCGAATTCTACGGTCAGGATTGACGTTAAATTGTTTTACTTTTGTGTGCCGGATAGATTAAAGCAAGTTATCTGCGCGACGACGTTCAACGTCAAAAACAGTTTCCAGCATTCCCACGGAATAATTTCGATTAATGTTTTATCGAACATTTTTTGTCGAATAAAATAGTCGGTTATTTGAGTTTTGTGTGCTTCTGGTATTTAATGGTTTTAGTTTGAATAGCATTCTTTGTATGACTTAATTTTAGATTTAATTTATATTTTTCTGTTTGGATCATTCATTCGATTCAGGATTTTTGAGTCTTCTTTGAAGTAAATTAATTTTGGGTTAAATGATCACAGCTTAAACAGGAAGTTGTTGAATATTTGAAAAAGACAAAATGTTTTAATTTTTAACGATGAATTTTCTACAATTGCTACTGAAATTTTCTACATGTTAAATTAACATAAAACTATCTGAAATATTAAGAAAGCAGCTTTTTCTAATGGATAACTTTTTATTAAAGGACTAGAAGTCATCTACATATAGAAAAAATAATGACTCGAATCGTCGAGAAAAAGTTAAAAAATGATCTAACACAAAAAAATATACAGAGTGCTTTCAAACGTTCAAAAAATTACCTATTGCTTAACGTTGTTACGTTACTAATTGAACTTGTTCTAGAATTTTTTGTTACCTTTCTTGTAACCTTGAGTATATCTCGAGTTCCACCATAAATTCTTTAAAGTACAGCGCAACTCGTAGGGTTTCTTTATAAAAGTTCAACGAAACAAAAGTAAGAGGAAAATGTGGAATGTAATATTGTTCTTCTCGAGACACCTCTTTATGTTTTATCGAAATTATTAACTCAGAAGGAAAATGCATTTGATAAGAGAAGGCTCAAATGTTTGATAAATGATTGTTAAAATTTGATTTAACGGATATGTTCTCGTACTTATAAAAATAATTTAATAACAACTTTTCATGTTTCTAGAATCTCACTGGCTGTGACAACCGATATTAAAATTGTGTCCTACATGGAAAAATTTTGCAGTGCTCTCGTCGAATAAGAAAATATTAAATATAGATAAAAAAAATTTGTTGGTTCGTTTCTAGCGTATATTTAGGCAACGTCTGATAAGTTAAATAGTATTTAAAATAACATTAGAAAACATGGAATTAGTGGAACGTCTCTAAGAATTTAGATCTAAATTACAATGAACCTTCTTTTCTTACCTGAATGTCGGAGAGGGTGGCTCTGGAGTGATGACTGAGACGGCAGACCATGTCGCCAGTGTCACCATAATCGTACGAATGGCAACGGAACGGAGAATTAAGACAAAGCTCGCGGCACTCCTCAGCAGTTCCAACATCTTGGTAGACAGAATCTACGGTCTTGAGAATGCGACCTGCAAGTTTCTTGAATTCGCAGAGCTTGACTGGCTCGTCCACGCAATGATTCTCCAGATAATCGAAGCCTTTAGCTGATTGGAAAGCGTTGGAACCCGCGACAGTTAGACGGTCCATGTCCGAAAGCTCGCACTGCTTTGTCGCGTTCGCATAGTTGGCGGATCTGAAACAAAAATGAAACGGTTGAAGGATTGTTTTATAAACGGAATCGTAGAAATATCAAAAAGAGTAGTGTGGTAAATATTATTTATTTGTTTAAGAACGCTAGCAAAATTGTTTAGTATCAAACTCAGTTTACATATATAATTTATTCTATTAAATTAAAAACAAGTGTCGCATTATGTCAAAATTGTCAGTAAATGTTTGACAGGTCTAAGAAATACTAACTTTAAAATCTTCACTAATTAATGTGTCATTTATTATAATTTCGTATTAATCTGTATATGTACCACTTTTACCCTTATTGTTAACCCCCAAAACGCGAAATGAAGTCTCAGTCAACTTAACGCGACTGCTCTTATAGCCAGAACAATACATCACCCCAATTATTCATACACGCGAACGAGTGGAAGAATTTCGTTCTTTTGCAGTACATTGTTGCAATATGAAAGTACATTAAAATACTTTGATAAATGCGACGGGTAAGCATCCTCGGCTAAACACAGCAGTGGTCCGCACGAAGGACCACAAAGGCGGCTTTGTCGACGATGCGGCCGACAATTGTTCGAAAGCAATTCCCTCGAAAACAAAGGTTCGCTTGAAAGAATTCCGTTCGTGTATCCAACACGCGAAAATAATTTTGAAAAATATTGTTTTACTTAATACAACCACCCGATACGTCGCGTATCGCTTCGCTTCTGTTAATATTCGTTTAAAATCAAAATGGTCGACGCGCTGAAAAATCGAGTGCCCTCGATCGCGTAACGATACACCCGCGGAGACTCGGAACGTTGAGTTTATTTTTTTTTTTTTTTCAGAAACGAACGTGCAAAAATTTTACAATCACGCTACGTAAACACTGCGCGTGAACCTGTCGATGGCTGGTCGTCGCAATAACTTAATGGCTACGGGTGGATGTATTTTTAAATTGACGCTCGAATAGCAACGCTACATGGAACCATCCAGCAAATTGACCAATTGCGTCGCGTTCGATGTCCCTCGATTATTAAACTATTACGGCAAAAATTATTGGTGGAGCTGTAGTAAATTGTTTGGCAATCTCAAGCGATAAAGTTTCGGTGTTTATCTTTGTTTATTTAGAAACGATAAAGTTTATAGTCATGTTTAAGTGAACGATTTAAGTTGTTTATGGGAGATAATTCTCGTGTAGATGTAATTGAAAAAAATACGTGCACACATATAAGTTTTTTGCAGTATTAAATTAAATTTAATGGGATCTTTAATGCGTACATATGTATATGTCTATGTATATTATTATCTGGTAGCATGGTCCTCTTCACGTGAATTAATAGTTGAAAATTATAGACGGATGTCAATTAAAGTATGTTTAAAAATATACATACGCACCAGAAACAATATTTTAAATTAATAGAGGCTTATTAGTAGAGAAATAATCTAATAAAAAGATTTAGAAAGTTACTCCTCTACTCTAAATTTTGTCAGTTCAGTGAGTTTTCGACGTCGATTTCTGGGTCATTAGTTCATTCTCTAACGCCTAAAGTAATCGCACGAGCTTAGCGTGGAACGTTGCCGTAGTCCGTGATAAGTATGCGAAACACAAGGTGCAATTTGTGCCGCACTGATATTTGGCAAAGTAAAACATACAGCTCCGCGGAAATCCATTAACCAGCTCCCATTACAAATTCTGGCCCGGATTCGAGCAGGAGCCATTTCATCTTCCTTTATAGACCACCGGAACTTAATACATACGCTCATTGTTTCATCGAAATTCCCAGAACTGGCTTCGATATCAAGTGCACGAATAGTCAGACTTGCGATTAATGTTCTTTTTTTCTTTTTCTCTGCTCTTGCTCGTATCCAGGATAATTGAAAATATGTTGCACGTCATTTGGCAATCTCAACTTCTATTATATGAACGGCAATTGAGCCACTTGAGTTACTTTATTTGTTCGAACCTATTTGCTTCGTTTAAAATTGTAGCTGTTCTTAAAATAATTCCAGCATATAACTCATAATTGGAATAACTGCTTTATTGATAAAAATATGTCCGACATAATTTTAATCTTGGCAAGTTATATTATATAATTGTCAAGGAGCACGATCTGCTTCAGATGGAAATAAATACCTTCAATTTATGTGCAAATGTATATCAATGAAAATGGAATAAAAGTTCGTATTAAAATGAATAATTTAAAATTTATTTTGGTTGAAGAAGAGGGACGCATCACGGAGGACACATTACCACGTTCAGTGCTGATGTCACCCATGTGCGCACCTGCACCCCCAGTGCGTGTGTCACGCATGGGTGACATCCGTCTGTAATTACTATTACTATCAATTGGTTCAGCTCCCTGAGTATACGACTAATTTTACAAACGCAACGTATAAGCACCTTTACATTCAGATGCAAAACAACGTTCTGCCTCTTCGTAATATTGCGAATAAGTACACTCGGGCATTTAATTATTCCTGAAGGAAACCTGACGTGGGCTCTAACGTTGGATGAATGAATACTAAATTCGGAGGAAAAAGATTTACATATTAAACTGAGTTTCCTGTTACTAGCGAAAATGAAGAAACTGTACAAAAACCCAACGATATCAATGGCCAAATGGAAGATTAATTTCTTGCATTTAATTTTAACGCAATGAAGTGATAGAATGACTTTATAATTATGTAATATGGTTTGTCAATATTTTTGCAAGCATATTATCATTTCAATTATGGTATGCTAGAATTAATTGAAGAACAGACATTGTCTGACTTGTCGATAAATGATTACTAAAAAATAAAAAAATAATTCTGAAGTTTTGAAAAAAGTGCTCTAAAGTAGTTTAGTTTCTTATCGAGGAGTTTTAGATTAATTACGGAATGAGAGCACACTATAATTACGAATAATTCAATTATACTTCCCAAGCAGGAAATGCTAAGCTATGAAAAACGTATAACTCATTAAAGAAACGAAGTCAACAACTTTCTTGAGCAAAAATGACAATGAAAATTGTTAAAGAATCTAGAACCTCTTCTTTAAAAGTTTCCCTTTATACATTTCCGATTCTTATTTCATCTATCTGTACCTTATTCTCTTGCAATGCAAGAAAGACATGAAATAAATAAATGACTTCTTGTAATAAAGTTTCGACATAACATTGCACAAATCGACCATGCTGTAGAACGGATACCTGTACACAGGCGTCTTAGTGCTTTTTATTCTCGAGCACAGTCTGGCGCCGTAGGTAAAACTAATTACCGTTTAACGATAATAAACGTGGAAGCACTAATTTACTGACATTTACGAGCAAGTCACCCAAACAGGTCCCCTCCCTGTGTTTTTTCTCGCCTTCGTTAGCATCTGCATGCAAGGGATGTAATACCGGGTAGCTTGTCCGGAAATGGGAACGCTTCGTCGTTGTTTGCTTATTCCCATTTTGCTTTTTGTCACCAGCGGATGCAAACACATCAAACATCGCGATATTTCACGTGTTTGCTTGGATTCGCGAGATAATAGGAATATGGATAGAACATTCCTCGCAAAATCCATGAATCCGAATCGCCCGGAGAATGAGTAGTAATGATTTTTGTCTCGCTTTGAAGACGTAAGAACGCCGATTCGTTTCTTCGGTGTTCGAATTTCGGCAAACGTGTTTCTCGTTGCTGGATACTTGCTTTGTATCATCAGCTTTTTTTAATTATTGTTAGTGTTTTTGAAATTTCACTTCTAAATTTGTTGGATACCATTTTATATTATATTGTGAATTATATAATGCTTCGACTCCTAGGTATTAATTATATTCAGACTTATAATTATTAATTATATTAGGATAGAAGAAATGTTGTTATATAAAAATATTTCAATAATTAGGTAATTCAATTAATAGGAGCATTAAATTTCTTTTTAATACATGCAATTTTACATTAATTGCACGATATTCTGTTTCGCAGAAGAGTAGAGGAGGTAAATTATAACTTCGTTCTCGACATTTTTTCTTTTCGATAACATGAAATTACCTTCCTTTGAATGGTGCTAGTGAATTTAATTAAAACACGAGCCACGTTGTTTATTACGATCAATTTTCCTGATTGGCCACAAATTTTTTTTTAGGCGGTATAACAATTTTGAGGAAGGGACAGTGTGTCATAGCGGGTAAATATTTATCACGTACACACCTTTAGCATATCGCATGGCAAATGTTTGCATTCTACTTCATCTATATAAATGATTTGGCACAATTTTGTCTACTGGAAACTTGAACCAACATGCGGATGCACAATTTTGTTTTCCATTTCTCACTACACTGATTACTGTAGGAGTGCAACGGGATTCATAGTTGTCTTAAATTTATTTACTGACAAGTAAACAACAAACTTTCTAAAAGCACCTTATCTGCTACTAATATTTATGACATATACTGTGCCATGATATGATCAAATACTGTGTTATCATTGAATGTATTGGTTAAAATAATGCTAGTTTCTCCTAAGGAATTTTTTTAATACGACCATAATTGGTGTAGATATTAAATGTTAAATTAAATGTTAAATATTATTCTTAAGCCACGAAAGATATAAAACGCTGTATTATTTATTGAATAACCTACTCTATAAATCTTATGAGTGCTTCACGTTCAACACTAAAAAACATTTCCGTTATCTCGAGTTGCGTTACTAAGTCAACCCCTTTAATTCTGATACATCCTGTGCAAGAAAAGAACACACGAGGGAAGGGGAAGAGGTGAAAACTTCGATCAGGAGGACCCAGGTGCTGGACCGCTATCATTATCTAACCGAAGTTCCACCCGAACGTTAGAGTACCCAATCCTCCCCGTTCCACCCCTGGACATCGAAGCTTAGGACTTACGGTGAGCGGCAGGGTGCCAAATTTATTCCACGTCGCTCCATCGATTTTAAATTATATTGCCTTAGACCCGAATAATATTCATGGCTGGCGCGTTATGATTTCAATATTCTCGGGGTTTTCGTGGAGCGTAACCCGAGTCGAAAAATCATTGCGTCCTTATGCGG